TGAACCGGCATTTCTCAAGGATATGCCGGAACTCATGAGCCCCAGCGTCCAGATTGGGATCCCTCGCGGGACCCAACCCCAGAGCATCCTTAACCACGAGGTGGGTTAGGGTTAGCGCAGCACAGGGAATGCGCTTGATGCCCAGCTGCTCTGCCACTGCCCTAAAGTTTGAGCCGCCATCGGTCACCAGGAAGCCCACGGTGACGCCCCTGCCTACCCACTCGTCGAACTGACTACTGATGGCGGCCAGAATGTTGTCCACCGTGTGCGACCCATCGAGTCTCCCGATGTGAAGCAGGGCCTTGCAGTAGCCAGCCCGGCAGCCCTGACCCTGCCTGTCGCTAGGTTGCCCTCCCCCACCCAAAACCTCGCTCGGTTGCCACCAGTGCGCAGTAACTGAGAGGTACGAGTTATGCGCCTTACAGGAGGTCCAGATGTCGGATATGAAGTGCACATATCTCCCACAAGTGTGGGACAAGTGTGCCTTCACGTGTTCCCTGGCAGCCCTGAAAAATGAGGGCATCACGGTCCTGCTCATCGTGGTGCGAGCAGGGGGCGTGTACCAGGGGAAGGCATACTGGAGTAACCTGCGGAAACCGATGTCTTCCACTGCTGAAGGTGTGGCTTCATGACTTCCCAGCCAAGGAAGCAGCCTCTGTCTTCTCCTGTCAGCTTACCCATCCGTCTCTGATGTGCCAAGACTTCTTTGTCAACCTGCGGGATAGACCAACAACACCACAACAAGAAGCCCTGCCCACTAATGCCTCAGAAAGTGAGATGGAGGGGGCTATCTGTCCAGTGAACCTCCTTATCTCGCAGCAGTACACCAACACCAGCCATCACTGCCTGCCTCAGTGGAGGAGGCTTAGCCTAGGTGTGTCTCCCAATGTGAAGCAGGCGGCCCTGACCCTGCCTGTCACTAGGTTGCCCTCACCCAAAACCTCGCTCGGTTGCCACCAGTGCGCAGTCACTGAGATGTACGAGTGATGCGCCTTACAGGAGGTCCATATGTCGGACGTGAAGTGCACATATCTCCCACAAGCGTGGGACAAGTGTGCCTTCACATGGTCCCTGGCAGCCCTGAACAATGAGGGCATCACGGTCCTGCTCATCGTGGTGTGAGGTACTCTAGTGCCGACATCGCCAAACATCTCTGTCAGAGATGTTTGGCGTCCCTGCCCCGTCCCTACCGCGGAACGTGCAAGGGGAGCGCTGGAGGTGGTCGGACGACTCACCTCCTGGCTGGCTGGTGGTGGCCACCTGGGCACCCCAGCAGCAGCTTGTCTCTCCTCCTGAAGAAGCACTGCCTGGTGGTGCTTCTTCAGATGGTTCCGCAGCCCAGAGGTCGAGAGATGGGCGATGTCCTTCCCTCGACTTACCTGGGCCCTACACAGCTGGCACTGTGCAAAACGGGGATTCTCTGAGACAACCTGGAAGTGGTTCCAGACTCCAGAGGTGAAGGGGCACCCACACTGACCAGCGGCCATGGGCTTCCCCAGAGCCTCCTCCTGTGAGGGTCTCAGGCCAGACACATCGTGTCCTGGAGGGGGGGGCAGGAAGAGAAAACTGAGCAGGGGGAAGGGGTTGAGATGGCAGGTGCTTGGGGCGCACCATCTCTTCCTCTTCCTCCTGTCCCAGCCTCCTCTCCTTCTGCCCCCCACAGGAGGCCTTGAGGCACCAGATGAGTGGGCAGGTCACCGAGCTCCTCCTCCAGTTCCTCTAGAGCCCTCTTAGTCCTTGGAGTGAGCCCTGAGAACAGAGTGTCCCCAAAGCTCAACCCCCATGGACAGCCCTTGCTGTCCCTCCTCCTGCCGCTGAGTCCCAACGGCTGGAGGAGGGACTGCCTGAACAGCAGACCCCTGCCCAGTGCCAGCATCACCTGCAAACACCTCTGCTGGGACCACCCCAGAAGCATCCTTAAACATGGTGAAGAGAGACACACGTGGTATCTTCACGCCAGCACTACCCTGGCCAGAGGTCGGAGTGGTGCCAGGATGCTCAGTTGTGGTCCTGTGCTTAGGTGCGGGGAGAGCCACAGCTTCCCCCTTCCCCCTCCCTTCCGCCCCTCTAGTCTTCTCCTTTGCCTTACCCCCAGGGCCTCTCTGCGTTTCCCTCCTGTCGCTCATGGTACCCCTGGCCAAACTCAGGCTAACTTGTGGGGAGGGTAT